TGGCTCCTGGCAATAATATTGACTATTGTCAATAATATTGACTCTTGTCAATAATATTGACTTTCTAAGTCAATAATATTGACTATTGACTCTAGTCAATAATATTGACTACTGACTCCAGTCAATAATATTGACTATTGACTATAGTCAATAATATTGACTATTGACTCTAGTTAATAATATTGGCACTAGCCAATAATATTGATTGTAGCCAATAATATTGACTTAAATCAATAATATTGACTCTAGTCAATAATATTGACTTTTGTCATAAATACTGAAACCTGTCAATAATATTGACTCCTTTCAACAACATTGAATCCTGTCAATAATATTGACTCCAGTCAATAATTTTGACTCTTGTCAATAAATTTGACTTCTGTCAATAATTTTGACTCTTGTCAATAAGTTTGATTTGTGTCAATAATATTGACTCTTGTCAATAATATTGACTCCGGTCAATAATATTGACTCTTGTCAATAATATTGACTCTTGTCAATAATATTGACTCTAGTCAATAATATTGACTTTTGTCAACAATTTTGACTCTTGCCAATAATGTTGACCCCTGTCATATTGACTATAGTCTATAATATTAACTCTATTCACAAGAGTAAACTTGTGAAGTAAAATTTCTTTTAAATTCCCCATCGACATTATCTTACCGCCTATACTACCCCTCGTTAATTTATTTCGTATTCCTTTTTTTATTTTGTAAACAATTTGCTTTTTGATAGCGCAAAGAAGAAAAGTACGCTATTTTTTTTCGTTGTGTTTGTTGTTTTTTTTTTACGGCTAAGAAAAGTCATATTTCTAGCCGTGCGCCCGTTCACAATTCTGGTTATTTTATTTTCGCAAGCAAACGGATTTTATTCACTTTGCGGCACTAAAACAATCAACAACAAATCATTTCTATTTCGCGTGTTAAGTGTTTTCGAGTGAAAAAATATTTAATTGTTGTCACCTCTTGTTTGGGTTGGCAAGTGAAAACAACATTTATTATTTTGGCAAATAATTTTTAATTTATGTGTGAATTTTGAAAAAAAAAAAAACATTAAATTTTATTAAAAATGTTTTGAATTGTATCCAACAATAAAAATAATATTTCCTAGAAATTTGATACATAGTGAACAATAACTGAGAAGTTGAATAGAAAGCAATCACACACACTTAAAAACTATGTCCAAAATCGTCAAATTATTTAAAAACAATAAAAAAGACAAACCGCCAAAGGCGGAGATCATCACAGAACCCAAAGAACCAGAACCGATACCAACAACAAAATGTGGTAAACCTTTAGTATTGGATAATACACGATGGGAGGCAAGTATTTATTTATTTTGAAGAACTATTGGAAATTTTTATGTTGTGTTTTTTTCTGTTTTAATGAAATACGTAACAACTGTTTTGAAACTTTGAAAAGAACTTTGGACTGAACATTAATGGTATTCACATTTGAATGCCATATAAAGTCCATAAACCGGCTGCCACTCACAAAAGGCATTTAATTCCAATGTGCTGATCGTAAATTTGCTCGATATTGATATAACTCAGATATCCGATATGTATATATTTGTTTGTTATGAAAGGAACCAAACTTTTTACATCAATTTTGAAAGTGTTTTAGCATGTGATTATGTGACTAGTTCATATATTTAAAAAAAAAAAAAAACAGTTCTTAATTTTCATGTCCGGACCATTAAAAATTTCTACACGCAGAAGGCGATGACGAAGAATAAGCAGGACTAGTAGTTGAACCACATTCGTCTGCCTGTTGAAATCACGCTAGAGATTGCAATATTTTCGATCCTGGAGATATGGCGTGATTTTTTTGCTGGTGATCCTATTATAAATGAAAAGATAGCTTAACATATTGATTTGTAGCTGTTGAATATATTTTTTGAATCTAAATCGTATGAGGAATTTTTTGTAGAACATTTCGTTCTTCTAACTCAATCTCTTGGGTGTCGTTTTCGTCTTTAATTTATTGAACTGGACTTCAATTATCCCAAGATGCGATTTTTCATCCTCGAAATATTCTACAAAAATGTTGTCATTAGATTTTAGGTAGGATCGTCAATGACGAGATAGCGATATTTTAACGTGTTAATGGATATTCACAATTTTACCCATGTCATGTTACTAAAAAACCGGTATGCATTTCAATAAAATCAGTATAAATTCTTTATTATGAAGAACTATCGAATTCGTCCAAATTATAATTATGTTAATAAAGCAAAAAAATCGAGAAAGAAAGAACCGATTTTCTAAATTTTTGAACCGGATAATAAAACCGGTTTCAATACCACTAATGCATATCATTATCGGTTTTATTATATAGAAAAAGATAAAATTCCAGGAAAATGGAACCGGTTTTCCAAATTTTTGTACCGGATATTTAGATAATAAAACCGGTTTCAATACCTTTTATGCATATCATTACAAAGCTGATAAACAAACGCGCTAAAATTACTAAACCGGACTAATATCGTTTTTATTCTCTGCCAATAAAATTAATTTCGAGGAAAAAAGAACCGGTTTTCCAAACCAGATATTCAGATAAATCACCGCTTTTAATACATTTTATGCATATCATTAGAAAGCTAATAAACAAACGCCCTCCAGTTAGTTAGACTATTTTAAGTTTTTAAATCTATAAAAAATTGAAGGAAAAAACCGGTTTTCTAAATTTTTGAACCGTATTTTCGGATAATAATGCACATCATTAGAGAGCTGATAAACAAACGCGCTAAAATTATTGAACCGGTCTATTATCGGTTTTATTGTCTACCACAAAATAAATTTCAAGGAAGAAAAAAACAGGTTTCTTTATTTTTAAACCGGATATTGATATAATAAAACCGTTTTAAAACCCCTTATGAATATTAAATTATTATCGGTTTTTACTACTATCTGTTTTAGTATCTACCAAAAATTAGTTAGTTTCGAGAAGAAAAAAAGAACCGGTTTTCTAGATTTTTGATCCGGACATTCAAATAAATAAAACCGGTTTTAATATCTGTTAACCATATCATTAGAAAGCTAATAAACAAACATGCGGAAATTATTGAACCGGACTATTATCGGTTTTATTACCCACCAAAATATTAATTTCGAGAAAAAAATAACCGGGTTTCTAAATTTTTTAACCGGTTTTTCAGATAATTTTGTCATTTGTAATTGTCAAAACTTATTTTAAACGCTTTGATATTGCTCTATTGGGTTCATGTCAGTGGACTTTGGCAGCGTTCGAAGCTGCACAGGTTTGAAAATAGGAGAGGTCATTTGAAGACCTTGAAATAATCTCTCTTCCATTTGGTCTTTCTTTTGCCTATAACCGCATCGTCCAATAAGAAATATTTTATTTTTTAGTTTTGTTTCCTTTCTTTATTTTCATTCGATTTTCATATCACTTTATCATTCCATTCCGTTTAATTTTGTATTTCGAAACACTATTCAGATTTGCAGTTCCACTATCTCATTATTAGAAAAATTTGTCATTGATGATATTTATGAACACCTTCAAAAACAGAGGGGGCTTGTTAATACAAAATTAACAAATTCTATATGCGCAATATGTTGTAGTACCGCTTCAAGTGCTTCGATTAGCTTTTCCTATGAAAAACTACTTCACATTCTTCTTCTTCTATTTTTTTATATATAATGCATTTTATTTTGTTCGCAAATTGAAAACAAAAACAACAATGTGCCGATGTTATATACAACACGTACTCCATAGTTCACTTGAACTCATATCATAAAAAATAATACTAATAATGTCTAATCAATGTTTACGATATACAATTATTAGTTATTTAATTATTGTTTTATATTGATGGTGTGTTGTTTAGGTACTGCATTGGGGGTTTCCCCTAACAATGAAAAGTATTATCACTTAATATGTTTATGATTCTTGAAAAATCCTCTCCCCTGATCTCGCTCAACTCGTACAAAATACTCTCATAGTTTTTACAGTCCTCGAAAAAATATTCTATAAAACCATTTTCCTCGATCTGACAGTCTGCAAACTATAAAAAGGCGTTGAAAAATATTTTTTTTATCAGAGCTTATAAATAGCCGTTGAAAAATATTTTTAAAAAAATCAACGCATATAAATAGTCAATGAAAAATATTTTAAAAAAATCTAAGTTTTTTCATAATAACAATGGTAATAAAAAACACACATGGAGGTGCTATTCGGAGGAAGAGAAAGATGTGTGTATTTTCCTTTTTGATATAAACGCAACAAACTATACCCTTAATAAAATGCAATAAAACACAATAACCTAAAAAAGGTGTAATAATGAACTTCAAATCAAATCCGCAAAAAAACACTCATTTCCCAAGGCCTTATCTTATTTTCCACACATCTTTCTCTTCTTGCTAATAACACTTATATGTGTGTTTTTTATTATTATTAAAACTCAAAATGATAATTCAAATTTCTAATAAGTTATCTTATCTAATCGCCTACCTCTTTCCAAACGACCCACCAACCTATCTATCTACCTAGCTCCCTCTACTAATAATAAACAAAACCTATTGGTAACGGGTGATCAGCCAACCCAACCATTGACGTCGTCCATAACAAATAAAACAAACAGAAAAACGACTGCCTGCCCTTGTATTGGTTTAAGCTCTTTGTGCCATTGTTTTTTTTTCATTATTATTTATTTAATTATTACTTTTTTGTTTTGCAAAATTGATAAGAAATTACTCTGAAGTACCTATGGTTTTTACCTACCTTTACCTTGGTGAAAGTCTAAATTTTCCAAATGATGAAATGTGTGTTCATTGCATCAAATCAAATTTCACCAATGACGTCAATGACACTTCTCTATATCTCAGACTGTAAAAAAATGTGAAATAATCACAATGACAATTGCATTTTATTGTATTGAATGCGTCATAATCTTTTGGATGATGTGTAACTTTATTATTTTTACGAACATGTTGTTTTTCTTTAGTAAGATAATTTATTTAAAATTTCTATTTACAGAAACGTCTGCAAAAGGAACTGATGTCCCTTATCAAAGAACCACCACCAGGTGTTTCGGTCGATACCGCCAGTGTTGCTAGAAATTTATCACAGTAAGTTCAAAAATGAAATGCGTAGTAAATATCCATTATGATAAATTCAAACACGTGGTAAAATTTGTTTTCGAAATCTTCATAAGCTAAAGTCTAACTGTGACGAATCAATAATTCCGAGAATATTCTCTTAAAAGTCCAAGTTCCTAGTTTGGATAGTCCTTATAAAATCTTCGTAAAATTTTTAAATAAAAGAAAAAATATAATCGTATCGGACGGACCAACTTCTACCTGGTGGTTTGTCTTCAAAATTCCTTCATTTGTCGGGACCTTAATATGTGAACTATGTTATAATGGCACACTTTCTTGTTGTCTTGTATTTTTAAATAAAATAAAAAAGTGACGTTCAGATCGGTCGGACCAATTTCTTCATAACTTCCACCATGTGTTATGCCTTCAAAATTACATAAATCTGCCGACGCCTTTATATGTGAACTATGTAATTATAAATTGTCTGCTGTTTATGATCTGAGAAAAATAAATACTAAATTACAGACACTCTGGTTGGAAAATGGGTACCTAATTTTGACAAATTTTCTGAAAAGAAGTCTTTTATTTAATAGAAATCAGTCCAAAAATGCGCCTACAGCCATGAAAATATCGAAAATGAGTCTGGACCTATAGATGGGGCCATGTTTTGACATAGTTTATATCAATTACTGCAAAACTACTGCCACATAAATTGAAAATGGCGGCTCAAACCCTTGAAAATATGAAAAATGTGGCGGGATCTTTATAGGGGACCTAGGTTAAAACTTGTGCTTGGGACATTGCGTCTAAAATCCCTTAAAATAACAAAAAAGGCATAGGTTCTTCTAGAGCATATATCAAAAACTTTTTGCAAAAATGTTTTTATTCAGCAAGAACATACACAGCCAAATTATTGCCATTTCGGCGGAAAATTGCGGCTGAAACCTTCAAAATATTAAAAAGTAGGACAAGAGGTTTATATGGGATATGCCATTATATGGGATATTGTGCATATATTGAAAATTTCCTGCAACGATGTTTATCTACTCCAAAGAACCCTCCTGAATGCCAAATTACAGCAACATCGGTGGGAAATTGCGTCTGTTTAAAATAACAAAAAAGTCGCAGGTCCTTCACGGGATTGTACGAAAATTTAAATCCAAAAATGTTTTGTTTACCCTTCAAGTACCTACAATGCCAAATTACTGCCACATCAGTGGAAAATTCAGGTCGAAATCTTCAAAATGTGAAAAATGAGGCGGGACCATTATATAGAATCTATGTCAAAACTTGGGCCTACATCGAAAATTCTCTGCAACGAAGTTTTCTACCACCAAGAACCTTCCTGAATGCCAAATTAGAGTAATATCGGTGGGAAATTGCGTCTAAACCCCTTTAAAACAACAAAAATGTTCTTAAAAATTTTTTCTCTTACCTTCCAAGAACCTACAACCTACCGCGATGTGGCAATAATTTGGTGCACCGGTGAAAAATTGCGGCTGAATCCTTCAAAGTATGAAAAAAGTCTGAACCTTTATATGAGATCCATGTTAAAACTTACACCTATATCGAAAATTGCCTGAATAAGGTTTTTTGTCACCCCAAGAACCTCCCCTGGATGTCAAATTAAAACTACTAAAACCCTTTAAAATAAATAAATAAATATATATCCTTGGTAGTCTTAGGTTCTGAGAGTCTTAGATTAAATATTCTTTGAAGCTTCTAGTCTATTCTAAAATATCGCTTCTTGGTAGTCTCAGGCTCTAAGAGACTTGGAATAATTTTATTTTTAATCGCTTCTTGATAGCCTCAGGCTCTGTAGTCTTAGGGCTCTCCCTCTCTCTCTCTCTTAAGCTTCTTTGATAGTCATAGAACAATCCAAGCTCTAGTCTATTCTAAAATATCGATTCATGATATTCTCAGGCTATTGTAGTCTTACAATAATTATTCTTTAGAAATCCACACTTATGGTTCTACGAGTCTTAGAACAAATATTTATTTTTAATAGCTCGTTCTTGATAGTAACAGCCTGCAATAGCCTTAAAATAATTATTCATTAAAAATCAAAGTTTATGGTTCTCTAATAGTATTAGAAAAATATGCTTCAAAAAACCAAAGCTTATGGCCCCGATAGTCTTAAAAAAATATTTTTAAAACAATCCAGAGATTGGAAAAATATGCCTGATGAGCTGCTTAACAAACGGCGAAACGCGTCGCATAATGGTTGGTACGTAGGTTCATCTCTTGGCTTTCATTTTCATTGCAAAACCTAGATCATTAAGCTCGACTCGAAAGAAAATAATCACTTAATATTTATTTATAAAAATTTACATTTAGATGTTTGCTATAAGTTGATATATATATTTATATCTCCGGGGATACTTAGACAAATATTAAAAAAATCCTCATTTAAAGCTCTAAACATCCTTAAGAACATTTATTATTACTTTTTTTTTTTAAATAAATTTTCTACTTTTTTGTCGTATGTTTTTTGTTTTCTTTTTCTAGATGGAAAATCAATATTACCGGTTTTGAGGGTACCCTCTACGAGGGTGAACATTTTCAATTGTTGTTCAAATTCAATCATAAATACCCGTTCGATTCGCCGGAAGTAACCTTCATTGGCAATAATATTCCCGTGCATCCGCATGTCTATTCGAATGGTCACATCTGCCTATCAATACTCACAGAAGACTGGTCACCGGCATTGTCGGTGCAATCGGTGTGCCTCAGCATAGCATCGATGCTAAGCAGTTGTCGTGAAAAGAAACGCCCGCCAGATAACACTTTATATGTGAACACATGCAACAAGAATCCTAAAAAGACTAAATGGTGGTATCACGGTAAGTTTTCGTTATTTGCGATGTCAACTCTGGAATTTGAAAATAATTTGTGGTTTTTCTTTCTTTATATTTTTGCAGATGATTCCGTTTAGTTAAATGTTAAACGAAAGCCCCACACAATTGCCTGGGCTTTGCTGTGTTATCCATACAAGGTGCTGGAACATGAATTACAACAAGAAATCAATGATATCATCACTTTAAGAACTAAATTGTCTGTAAAACAAATTCGCCGGCGTTTAAAAAAGTTACTGCTGAAACGTTTCAAGCGAACGTTTGTGAAATTGTTCAAAACATGTTTACATCTTAAATATTTATAAGAGACAGAGAGAGAGAGAATTATGATTTCGATTTGGAAAAGAAAACAAACAAAAAATATATACCGCAGCTTTTTGCATATATCCGTCTTCACTCTTTCTCATCCTCATTTAATTTTAAATTAAGTGTATTATGTCTAATGAACAAATTTAATAATTATGCTATAAAGAAAACAAAATTATCACAATAGCTAGTTTTGCTTTTGATTGAAACGTTTTTTCCTGAAAACATTTTTTTTTTCAATATCCAACGCAAAAATATAACCATGATTCTTATATAAAATTTGTTATGTATTTCAAATCAGTAAAAAAAGAACACAGTAAACGATTTAGGAAGACATACTGCAATGTGATCTAGTGTCCGTCCACTATGCCCCTATTGCAATATGTTTTCTTCAACAATTGTCTGGCTTTGTGTTCTTATTGTTGTGATATAATTGTGATGATTTTTATTTGGTTCCATTTTTGTTTTCGCTGACATTTCGATCTGAAGCAAACTGCCGAACACCCCCAGTATTCAAGAAAAAAGAAAAGAAAACAGACAACATATTAATATAAACTAATAATAATAAAAAAATATAGACCCCTACATCCCTCTACTCCTCCTCCTCCACCCCTTATGATTGTATTAAATTAAGTTATTATTATAATGAAACTGTAATTCTAAATGCTAAATCTAATAATATATTTTTATTAATAATAATATTAATTATTATAATTATTATGTGTAATACAAAAAAAAACAAAAATAGTAATAAAAAATTCTAATTTATATTTAAACAAAAAACACACGAACATATTTAATACATATTATATTTTAAATAAAATATATTTTATTTAAAATTCCATGATTTTGTGGCTTTTTCAAAAAAAAAAAAAATTAACGACAGGACCTACCCAATTCAACTTTTTTATTTATTTTGCTTTTTCGAACCCTCAAAAAGAAATGCTGGCACATTCCAAAATTAAGTGTTTTATTCTTCAAATTATTACAAAATTTAATTATTGTAAATAACCAAATAACACAAAACAAAACCATGGAATATTTATTTACTTTTGCTTTACAATAATGCTGAAATATCTACATATACATACATATAAAAAATAATGAAACAAAACATCTGTACCTTTTTAATAGATTATATATATTCCGCTAAAAATGTTCATATGTTTCAAATTTTTGGAAAAATTTCATTATGCCATAGGTTTTTTATTTTTTCTTTAAATCGTATAGTTATATACATATACATATATTATAAATAGATTCCTTATTAATTTATATAAACGTATATCAACAACAACAACATATGATGACTTATTACTATTAAATAAGCAAGAAATAAAAAAAACAAAAGTAACAACAAATAAAATATTTAATTTGGATTTTTATTATTTATTTTTGGGTTCGTAAAAGCCGAAATCAACATTTTTGTATTAATTTAAATAGTTTGGATGAAATAAATGACTCCCTTCGGATGAATAAATGATGAATGACATGGACCAAATCAATATTTCGATGAGGAACATTTTTGCCGCAGTAAAATGTAAATACCATGTTTTATACCCTAAGACTGTGGGTATACAACATGGCCGATCAAGAACAGGATACGTAATTTTTAAAATATATTTTTTTCAAAGACTAATCAAGGCGTTATTTCTTTAAAATATCTTCTTCAAAGACTAATGAAGGTGTAGATTTTTTATAATTTTTTTTTCCAAAACTAATAAAGGCGTAGATTTTTAAAATATTTTCTTTTTAAAGACTAATCAAAGCGTAGACTTTTTAAAATATTTTCTTTTCAAAGACTAATCAAAGCGTAGACTTTTTAAAATATTTTTTCAAAGGAGTGGACCAATGTGTTCCATTTCTGGACTTGATCTAGGCTTAGTAAAGATAACATATTGTACAAAGTTTGGTTCTAATCGGACATTCCATTATCCTGATATTGGTATTATAAATATTGAAAATGTTAACCCTTTGTGGGGGATGTACCAGAAGGAGTGGACCAATGAATCCCAATCTTTGGACTTGGTCTAAGGTAGACAAAAATATAATAGATTGTGCGAAATTTGGTTCAAATCGGAAATTCCATTATCCTCATATTTGCATTATAAATATTGAAAAATTTAACCCTTTTTGGGGGTGGTACCAGAAAGAGTGAACCAATGGGTCCCACCTCTGTACATAATCTAGACTAGATAAAAATCGGACATTCTATTCGCCTGATATTGGATTTACAAATATTGAAAAGGTTGACCATTTGTGGGGCAGGTACCAAGAGGAGTGGGCCAATGGGTCCCATCTGTGGACCTGATCTAGGCTAGATAAAGATAAAAGATTGTGCAAAGATTGGTTCAAATCGGACATTCCATTCGCCTGATATGGATTTATAGATATTGAAAATTGTGACTAATTTGGGGGGAGGTATTAGAAGGAGTGTACCAATGGGTCCCATTTTTGGATTTGATCTAGGTTTTGTAAAAATAATAGATTGTGCAAAGTTTGGTTCAAATCGGATAGTATGTTAGCATGATATTATAAAATTAATTATTAGCACAATTTTTACCATTTTGTACGGGAGGTACAAGAAGGAGTGGACCGATATTCCCCACCTGCGAACTTAAACTAAGTTTGGAAGAAATATGACGATGTTTTGACAAAAAAGGTTATCGTGCGCACCAGCCAGGCAGGCAGACATTAGGAGGGACATTTGTAAATCGACCCCAAATTCTCTGAAACGGATTTGGTCCAAAGAAACATGGGGTCTAAAATCAATATTTCAATGAGGCACATTTTCATGAAAATATGCCTCATTGATTATAAGGCTGAGGGTATAAAAACAAACAGTCGATATTTAAAAATTGTCAATATGGAATAAAACTTTAGAATTCCCTCGAACCATTTGTGCAAAATTTATAAAAATCGGTTAAGTAGTCGCTGAGTTATTTGCATTTTAATGCAACGATGTTCCGAAATATACTTACTGTTCGGTGCTGGGCGAAGAATTGACTTTTTAACAACGTTAATTTTTTTTCATAATGGCCGCTGGTTTGTAATGAAAATTATAGCATACTTTTATGTCTAGGCCATTTCAATATATTGCACCAATAGATGGCGTTTCATTTTGCCCTATAATATGTTATGGATTATCCTTTTCATTAGAAAAAATATACTTAGAAAATCCTCTTCTTAGTTGGGGCTTAAAAAATTATTGTTTAAAAAATCTTATTCTAAAGTTGACATTGAAAAAATATTCTTCGAAACATAAAGTCTATTCATGGCCTTGAACAGAGGTTTTATTATTCGTTGTATAATATATAGGGGAGAGGGGGGCACCTACGTGTATTTCATAAAATCTTGGTTTAATATTTTTCCGACCCGCAACCACATTTTTGTATATGGCAATCTTGTTCTCTATATGCGTAAACCACTTTGGCTTGATTTTTCAGTTGTCGAAAAATTGTGCATGGGTGACCATGTTTTCAAGTGTCATTGTAAACTTTTATTCATTTGGTTGTAAGGGCGCAATTTTGATTGTTTTCCTTCGCCAAGCAAATTTTTTGCATTCCAACAATCATTTCAAACATAACTAATGTAATTTCTTTCACATATATTTATTACAAAAAAAGTTATTTTAAATTTCCGTAAAATGCCATGGGTGGGGCACCTTTGAACATGCCCATTAAACTCGGGTAAAAAAAGGATTTTTTAACTTTTCGCTTCGATTTATCAAAATTTCAAATGGGCAAATAAGATTACGAAATTAACTGTATTTTTCACCATATTAATTTTTGTTTTTAAGTCATTTTATGTTTTAATAACTTTTGATCTAATTTTTTTAAATTTTGAACATTTTTTATATATTTTTTAATGATGTAATGCATTTCTGATATGTATGAATAAAATACATACATATTTGAACATAAACACTGTAAAAAAACATGTCGTTCAAAAATGCCAACCCCTGTTCAAAGCTGCCCCCCTGGGGGGCAGTTTTGAACACTTTGAGTTCGTCCATTAAAACAGTAATAAAATATATTTATCAAGCTTATAGTATGTCATATGTATATTCATTTTAAAGGTTACATATGTACCTATTAGTTAAAATTTATTAAAAACCAAAAATTATAAAATAAAAAATTTTATAAGGCTTGAAAGCAAAAAGTGTTCAAAGGTGCCCCCCTCTCCCCTATATATATATATATTTTTATCAAAGAGTCGACCAGAGTGGTGCCGGAAGAGGTTCGGATTTACTGTATGTTTGGTAAAATATTACGATGTACAGACAAAAAATTAAATCGCTTATTCCCTTCGTTTCGAATGAAATTTGTAGGTTTTGAATGAAAGAAACATTGGGTCTAATAACCTCAATAGCCATAAGGCTGAGGGTATAATAAGTTCTTTGTTTTATTTATACATATTTTTTATTTATTATCAAATTGTTTGTTTTCATTTATATAAAAGAAAAATACAATATAAATTAAATTTGTATTTCAGTAATCAACAAATTAACAGATATTTTATTCCCTGCCAACATTCTACTACTTTAGCCAGCTCTTATTTCTTCTCCCACAGCAGCTTCAATTTCAGTTTGTAACGGCAGCACCATGAAATAGACCTTGCATTGCTTCGAGCAATGCTCGTTGACAGGCATATGTAGCCCGATAACCACCAGCCCGTTCGGTTAGATTTTCCGCTCGAACATGTGCCATATAGCCACGACTTTCAATTTCTTGTACTGGTGGTGCTGCAGGCCCCTCCATATATAACACAGGTCTTTCGTGAATATAGACAGGACCTTCTTCGACTTTGGGAACGGGTAGAAAGTGATGATCAGCCGAACGACCAAATTTAATACCCGATGAAAATTGTGTTGCCGGTTTGGGTGGTGGTGGTAATTGTTTTTCTTCTTCTCGCAGCTTCTCGACTTTCACAGCAAATTCATTAACGATGGCATTTGCATCCTTTCCACTGCACATAAGTTCATCGATCAGAGCTTCCTTCTCGCGAGCTTTCTTCTTTTTCTGTTCAGCTTCGAGATTTAACAATTCCTGGCGACGTAATTCCTCCTGTGTCTTTTCCAGCTCTAACATTTCCTCCAGTTCAATTTCCTCACGACCCATGCGGGTACGGTTACGTTGTATTATTTCACGATTATCCTTTTTGTATTGTTCGATTCGTTTATTTGTGCCAATAATGTCGATATTGTTGCAAAGGTTGTATATAATGGTCTCTATTTCCTCCAAATAGTCATTGTATTCTTGTAGTGTATTGAAATCGTCTTCCTTCTTATTGTAATCCCTGAGTATGCGTTTACGTATATCGACCTCCTTTTCCACCATAGGATCTTCGAATAGTTGTATACGGAAATTGTTACGTCTGAGAGCGACATTACACTGAGGACAGGAACCTGAACCCTTTAAGAAGAGTAAATCCACACATGATTCACATAACGTATGCCCGCATACGTTGACCATCAACTTCAGTGACGGGTTACGATATTTTGTGGTTTTACATCGTGGACAAGCCTGATCGTCCATTGTGTTTTAGGAGAGATGTGAGGAAATGAACGCAGCTTCAAATTGATCTATAAAAGAAAGAAAATATTTATTATAAATATAATACATAATATAATACAAAAATTTTAGTCATTTGAATATGATTACTATAATACCAAAAACGTAAACACATCTTAAAACTTCTGCCAATACGGACTGTATATCGAAATACAATATATAGGAAAACAACTTTGCAAATTAATAACAAAGAGGATTCTAATAAGACACATTATTTTTATTTCCCTTATTAAAAGAATTGTAGGGTATAGTTAATTTTGAAGGAAGAGGTCATTTGTTAGGACTATCAATCCTAGACAATGATGCTGTGTTGCACTCCCACTACGCTGCACCTTCCTTCTTTAGACTTATTCGTGATATGACACAGCGAAATTCCTTATCAAAGATTTGTTTATAGGAAACATGTAGTCACGGAACATTTTTAAATGTGCACCACATGTTGCTCCAGTGTCCCTGATTACAACAACATAATTATTTTCTTGCGGAAGTATATTATGGACTTCAAATCTTCTTGGAATACAAGTAGGGAATCGCTATTCATTATTTGGTTCTGGCATCAGTGTGTCTATATTCTGGAAGGTTGTGACCTGTATAGACTACATCCACAACAGGTTAATAGCTCGCTGCATGAATGAGTTAACGTGTCGTGTCCTCCAAGTCCACATGTTGGGTACATGTTAGGTGTCGTGGCTTCAATACGTGTCCAACATAAGGCGATTACTCTATCCTGAACTTGGCAAAATCAAGGCTATTCGTGTTTGTCTGGGTAGATCTTGCTAAGGATGGTCTCCAAGTATAGCATCCATTTGGGTGACTGCATCTACATGCATGATATTCAAACTTGCATGATCAACTTTTAGCATATAGGTGCACACATATACCTTTGGAAGTCTCTCGCTCTTACTAGATCATAGAGATCTGACCTGATAGGGGAAGTATGTCCATTAGCCATTGGCAGGTGTGATCAAAACGACAACACCCAATATTTGATTGTGTCGATGAAGGCTAAGATTTCCGTGTCATCGTAAAAATTATTCACAAATGTTAAGAGGTGACACCATAATGCTGTTCTCAGGGAAATTTGGAAGGTCTGGATTTTACTCCACTGCGTATCACTCACATTCGCAAACCACTGGCTTAGAAATCACATATCGTTTACCACTGACCGGCTTTTCAAGATGGCAACATATTTTTATCAGGGCCAACAAGACTATATGTAAACAACCGCGAACGGGCCTACCAAATTGTGATAATTAGGCCGTTTATAAATGTTACATTTTTAATCTTTGAGACACTTAAAATTTGTTCGGATGGTACTATAGTTTCTCTGGCGTGACCAGTGCATAAATGGGAATCAATTGGCACTTAACCTGACAACGGCAACTCCACTCACGTCTCGTTTGATGTGCTGAACATTTCCAACGCACTTTAAATACACGAGAAAATACTACAAAGAATATGTAATGTAATCTTAGTAATTTCAATACTTAACCCTTTTTGTAACTCCTTTCGATTTGTTTGTCTTCTGTGTTGCTTTCTTTTTTTACGCTAAAATCATTACTGAACAAACCCAACTAATTTAAAAACGTTCCACTTGCAACGAATATAGGGAAGTAAAGAGAAAATCTGTGATAAATAACGAATTTGAAACAAATTTACCGGCCACTGCTTGTTTACGAATGAAGGCGATGCATAACGCCGATATCCACGTTTTGTTTAGAAAGAGACATGGAGGGATGTGAATTGTTCAAAGGGAAGTAAGTGAACTAGTGTCCGTGTCGACAGAACGCCGTCAATCATAATTTGCTGCGCCTTTGTCACTCTACAGAGTTTTCTGTCACAGTAACACAAATCGAGATATGTGAATAAACTTTTGGCTAATAATAATTCAATTTAAACACGAAATCATTGAAAATACACCGGATGAAAACAGAACAAAAATCGACCATCATAAAATACCAAAGCTTTAGTATAAATATTAACGTCGTTTGAGTTTGACAACCTGCAAACGCCGTTTGTTGACTCAGCCGCCAAAATGTGTTAACGCAGTGCTAGCACAATTGATTCATTCCAATTTGAATGTGAGGAATCGTTTGAAATAAATTCAAAACTCATTGAAATAATAAGAAATTTATTTAATTTATAAGAAAAACGAGAAAATTCTTTAAATCCAACAGGGACAACTTTTATTAGTATCAATTATGTGGAAATTACTCATGATCGATATTGGTAATTTTTAGTAAGAACACAAGGTATAATAATAGAAGGTAACAGCAAGTGTTGTTGTACAAAAAACGATACAACAACCACATGGAAATTTGTTGTTGTAAGTTCTAATAGTGTCAACTCATTTGACAGAAAAATGTAAACAAACAAATTATCATCAAATTATTTTTATTTTGAAAATGAAATATTTTCGAATCCTCAAAATAAAAATTGAAAAACATGAATGAAAATCTATGAAATTTATATTTCTATAAATTTTTCCCATAATTGAATTGCCACTTATATGTGTAACACATATGAAAATGCTGGGAATAGCGAGCTATTCCTTGAAGAAAGATTAGCTTCCTCAAACTTTCCCAGCAGGCAGATTGAGTAAATTGAATACGGGAGCACATTTAATAAAGAACAATTTCAAATTGTATCAATTTTCCTGTTGGGTGATTTTTAAAAACATAATTTGTCAAATTCATATTGACACTAGTATTACGTTGGAAACAAATCAGCTGGGATTTGCTGTTACCTTTTATAATTGTACCATGGTAAGAACACTTTTTCCAGCCAATAAGAAATAAATTATAAATTGGGTATCGTCACATGTGGGCTATGCCAATGCCTTCCAATGAGTCCAAATATTTATTTTACAGCCAATTTGGTTAAAACCAAGGCCTATACAATAGGTCATCGAGTAAGGTCAGCTGATATCTAAATTTTTTGTCAAAATATTTTATTTCGTATTAAAAAATCGTAGTTGGCTATAGAAAATATGTAAGATAATTGTTCTATTTTAATAACAATTGTGTACAAAAACAGATGAATAGTTACTAAAAAATTAGTGCGGTGATATAATTTTGCCCTTGGCGTTGCAAAAATGTATAAAATAAATTAAATTTTCTATACGAAATATTGTGTTTTTATCGGAATTCGCCTTCTGAATGACCTGATATTTGGGTCATGGTTAAAACATTTATGAAATTCATATTTTTGTTTGACATATATCATGGTGCAATTATACAAGACAACTGCTGATTTGATTGCATCGTAATGCTCGTGTCAAGTTAGATATGGCATTTTAGAATGCCAGAAAAAAATACAACGCAATTTTTATTTTTTATATATTCCCCAAAAAAATATAGTATCAGCGTTTTTCAACCATGAATTGGCATGAAAATTTCAATTATATTAATTTACAAGAGCATTAATCGCGCGTTAACTATTATACATTATCAAAGAAATCGCAACAGAAATTCGTTGCCCTCTGGTTCACAATTTACTTCAATTTCCTATTGGGAAAATGTGAAGTAGCAAATTCCTTTACAATAAAAAAAACTCCTATTTTCAACGCTAATTTTAGCGTGTTACTCCTTACATATGGCAATGACTCAATTCGAGGAATAACCTGGAAGCTATAGAAATATAAATTTGCAAGATTTTCATTCATGTTTTACAAATTTATTCTGAAAATTCAAAAATTTTGTAGTTTTGTTTATATTTTTGACACTAGGGTTACATACAATGACAATTTTCTATGTAGTTCTTGTTGAATTGTATTTGTTGTAGTTTTGTAAAATTATACCATAGACAATATCGCTAATTTGTGCAAGATCGGCATAAATCAAAAATCGTGCAGAATTTTTCCTTATATCAGACTTCTTATTGTGTAAAAAAATTAGATGATTATGTCATACACACTATAATTTTTTCATTTATGCCGAGATATCGAGTAGATTTAAAATACCAACAATTGGGGGTAACGTTACATGGGGGTTATTCCAGAATGTGGGACGATTTGGGCATAAAATACCCCAAAATACAAAAAATTTGGAATGTGTGAATTGAATTTTTTATCATTATGCAGAAATCATACCTTACCTTTGTACATAAAATAAATAAACAAATAATATATTTTTTTAACATTTTCATAATTTATTAAATTGTTTTCTTTATACATTGAAGAGATTAATAATTTTTTAATACATTATTATATGTATTTACTATACTACATATATGCAAGTACATGTGTGTATATGTATTTTATTTCATTTACGTGTTTATTTTATAATTTCAAGATGTTGATAACTATTATCATTTAATAATATACATATTTATAAATATTTTTTTAATTAAGCTATTTATATTACACTAACTTTTTTCATTTTTTGTTAAGAACATTTGATAATTTCCTTGGAATAGCATATATTTAAAAAAAACACAGCATAATATACATGGAAATCATGTGAGATATATTGCTAACTACAATTATACAAGCTATGCATATATATTTCCTTATTTTCCAGTCCATGTATTAAGCAGATTCAATTAAGGTACATTTATATAATAGAATTATATAAATATTATGGAATTAAAAAAATTATGCTACAAATGAAAATAATATATTTATATAAAATCACTTTATATATTTTAATGATAATCTAATATGTTGATGTAATTTTGGCACCTATCAAAACCAAAAAATAAATTTGAAGATATGTTTTTATTTCATGTAAGCAACATTTCATAGACATTTTTTATGGTAGTCATTTAACTACGAAGTCTATCTAATGAGATGTTTGGTTATTTTTATTATTGTTAGTATTTAACATTAACTAAATGGAAACACTCAATATTCAGTCCTTGCAGATTTGTTTTTGTTATACAAAATCCCAAAATAGTTTGCAAATATATTTTTCACCCTTAAAAAACACGGAACTACATTCACGTTGGTTGGGGAGGTGCCGTTGTATGGGGGCTACACGAAATATCTTATTTTTAATTTCAAGCTTTCTAGAGATCATGGCAAAATTCCAATGTTCGATCTTAAATCTTGCTAACGGTATCGTGATTTAAAAGACGGAAATGCCTCCTTCAACACAACTTTTTCAGATAAAGAAAAATACTTTTCATTTTACATGAATTCAAAAAAATATATATTGTCAAGGTTCGTCAAATTGCCATCCAGGGAGTGATAAAGTTCCTTACACTTTATTCACAATTATAACTGAAAGGAAAGTCTGTAGATATACCTATCACCATATCGCAATGTACACACAGGCAGACAGACGGACATTTGTAAAACAATTCCAAATTGTTTCAAACATTTCAAATGAGGCACATTTTTGTCGTAGGCATATCAGCCATAAGTCTGAACAAGAGAAGACATTCTAGACTCAATTCAGTAAGTTATGCAAGATTTCGGTTAAATCGAACAGAGTTGGATCTACATGGTTTTCATTTAACAAAAAATGAATAAATATTTTATATATCTTTGAACTTTCAAATACTGCTGATTTTCTCTTATTTATTTATGTTTTGTCAATATGGAATACAACTTTAAATTTCACTCGAACCATTTGTGCAAATTTTAAGTAGTCGCTGAGTTATTTGACGTTCCCAAATATACTTACTGTTCGCTGCTGGGCACCTATTACCTGAAAATGGAAAACCACACAAAAATTGACTTTTTAAAATCGGCAATTTTTTCTTTTATAGTGGCTGCTAGTTTGTAAAGAAAATTATAGCATACTTTTAGGGCAAACACAGTCTGTATGTAGTCCGATTTTTAGAGTGATAGGTGATTTTTTATAACTTTTGCAGATTGCTAATAATCATCGAAATATTGGTTTTATACCCCAGGTTTCTTCTGACCAAATTCTTTTCAGATAATTTGGAGTCGATTTACAAATGCCCAGCCATCTGTCTGGCTGGTGCGCACGATAACACTTGAAGGGAGTAACCGATTTCATTCAAAATTTGCACATCGCACCCGTCGTCAACGCCATCTATTGTTTACCATGATTCAAATCATGCAAGTGTTTCAAACCAACATGCCCGCCATTCACAAAAGAGAAAAACGCGTTTAATGTTTGAGAAGCCCTTCAGCCGTCACTTGATGCTGACAGAATAAATCGGCTATATCTTCAAGAGTTCTTGAGATTTTCACTTGAAATTTTGTAGGGACATTCTTGAATTCGTGTAGATTCGAATTAAATCAAAAAAAAAAAAAAAAAATTTGACCCCGAGAATGGGGGGGGCGAGGTGTCCCCTTAAGTAGAAAAATGTTATGGTATATTTTTGCCTTAGCCTTAGCAATGTGTATATACCCTTATAAACCATAAGGGTAAACAATCTCATATCAATTTATAAATTAGACTAGACACAGACTGTGTTTGATCTGACAGTTGCTGGTTTGTAACAGCAGACATTAGGTTCGTTCGTTTACTTTCCCTATAACATTTACTCAGTAAGTATTTGCAGAGAGTAAAATACGAATTTTTCGTTATCAAGAAGAAAATTGCAAAAATTAAACGAACCATTTGAGTACCATTTTGATGATTGTTTACAAAGCATAAAAAACAGCTGATTTAATATCAGCTGATGGTACAAGAAAATTCTTACAGAGTAAATTTTCCTTGTAAGAATTGGCAAATACTCAGTAACACAAAATCTGCTCTCTCAATTCACTCTGTTTTACTGGAATTTTGAGTAAAGGAACAACATTTTGTAATAATTCGTAAAAATTATTGAGTAAACGAACCTATTATGTGCCACCAGTTAGAAGATGGTACCTCCCCCACGTTGGGAAAAAATTTTAAAACAATAACAATCATTTGAAATGTCTGATTTGTCGTAATATTTCATTCAAACTTAAATCAAGTTCGAAAATGAGACACATCGGACTTCTCCATCTGGTACATCCCCCACAAAATGGTCAACATTTTGCTGAAAAATAAAGTTATAATATAATGCGAAGGAAATATCCGATTTGAATAAAACTTTGCACAAGCTAATATTTTAACCAAACATGCATAATCTTTGAAGATGGGACTTATCGGTCCACAATATTTTGGTCAAACATCGAAATTTTGTACATCGTAATATGTTTACCTTACATAGATTAGGTTTGAAGGTGCGCCCCGTCAGTCCTCTTCTTTTGGTACCTTCCCCACAAAGGGTAAGTTTTTTACAAACCTGTAAATCCTATTTTATGTATTATTTGCACATAGTAATGTTTTGATAAACCTACTTTAAATCCGAAGATGGGATCTATAGTGTAACCTCTTCTGGCACCTCTTCCCCAAACGTTCAACTCTTTGATAAAAACATATACCTCATATAAAAAGAAATATATGTATGTATATATACATATATATCAAAAAGAAAGCTTGTTTTTTTAAAACTGCATGAATATACACAAATTTAGTGTTTTTTTTCATTTTTAATTTAACATTGAATTACAGTTGTATGCATCATTATTATTATTAAGTAATATATCTACTAATTGAAACTCAACAAAATATTTAAAAGTTTATTTGCTGTATTAAATAATAGTAGCCTAGCCTACGAATAATTACAATTTAGCTTTAATACATGGATAGGTACATAATAACATGTGTTTTTTTTGTATATGTATGTATGTTTGTAATATATATTTAAAAATAAAGTTGGAAATATAATTTTTGTTAATTACAATTAAATGTTTGTTTTTTTATTTAAGTCAAAAAAGCATTTAAAACATTTGTTTTTTTTTCATTTCGTTTAAGTTAAATGTTTTTATAATTTGTGTAAAGCTATCGATTTAAATAATTTCCATTATTCCAAATCGAATCACTGTAAATATCACAATTTTTTTAGTTAACATTATACGTGCACTTATTATCTATGATAATAGAATGAAGTAATTCATATTATTTGTTTGTTTTGCTATTTAATTAAAAATATTATGAAATAAAAATTTTAAAAATAATAAAAAATAAAGAAAATATAATGTACATTTTTTCATAATTGTTATTGTTTTTTCTTTAATTTGTTCATATATATGTAATATGTATTTAACAAGGTTTTCATTATTTTGTTTTTCGCTATTAAGTTTTAAAATATTTGGGTCGTTATTTAATTTATATACTGGTTATATATATAATATCTAAGTTATTATTTTTATTATAAGAAATATCGTATTGTTTTGTTCCATTCTTTATATTGGATTTGATTTTTTTAATTTGTTTTAACTAGCATTTTTCTTTTTTAATTTTTTTTAACATAAAATCCAATTTTATTGTTCTACTTTTTATGTTGAGTTTTTTTGCCTATTTTATTTTACTTAAGCATATTAATATATATGTTGTTTTTGTTTTTAATTTTAAAAATTAAAAAATATATATTCATGTTATTTAAGAGGAATATACATATAACTAAAAATGTTTATACATTGAAATACTATATGAAAAAAATAACTGCAGTCGTATATATATTTTAGTTGAGGCTGTAAAGGAAGAATTGGAAAAAAAATGTTGATTAGTAAAAATAAATTATTAACAATGGGCTTCGTTTGGAAAAGAAATAAAAGTGAAAAATGAATTCATCAGATATTTGCCATTAAAAAATCGATTCTTCAAACATTTGTTATATATTTCCTTCTTTAGAAATTTTCTATACAAAAGGAATTCCATTTTTATACCCTTCGTGTGTAATGGTGCACCAATCTCCCAATATTTCTCCGATTGAGACAAAATTTTTGCACAGAGTATTGAATTAGGTCTAGAGTGATAAATGCCAAGTTTTGTTGAAATCGGTTCAGATTTAGATATAGCTCCCATATATAGTTTCGTTCGATTTTAGGTAAATGGTGCACCAAACTCCCAATATTGAGATAAAATTTTGCACAGGTATTGAATTGGCCCATATTGATGTATGCCAAGTTTTGTTAAAATCGGTTCAGATTTATATATACTCCCATTTTTAGTTTCGTCCAATTTTAGATAAATGGTGCACCAAACTCCCCATATTTGTCCGATTGACACAAAGTATTGAATTAAGCCCAGATTGATGTATGCGAAGTTTTTTTGAAATCCCATATAATTTCGTTCGATTTTAGGTAAATGGTGCACCATACTGCCCACATTTGTCCGATTGAGATAAAATTTTCCACAGAGTATTGAATTAGGCTCAGATTGATGTATGCGAAGTTTTTTTGATATCGGTTCAGATTTAGATATAGCTCCCATATGTTGCTTCGTCCGATTTCAGGTAAATGGTGCACCAAACTATAGTTTCGTTCGATTTTAGGTAAATGGTGCACCACACTCCCAATATTTTTCCGATTGAGACAACATTTTGCACATAGTATTGAATTAGGCCCAGATTGATGTATGCCAAATTTTGTTGGAATCGGTTCAGATTTAGATATAGCTCCCATATATAATTTCGCCCTATTTTAGATAAATGGTGCACCAAACTCCCCATATTTGTCCGATTGACACAAAGTATTGAATTAAGCCCAGATTGATGTATGCGAAGTTTTTTTGAAATCCCATATAGTTTCATCCGATTTTATGTAAATGGTGCACCATACTGCTCACATTTGTCCGATTGAGATAAAATTTTCCACAGAGTATTGAATTAGGCTCAGATTGATGTATGCGAAGTTTTTTTGATATCGGTTCAGATTTAGATATAGCTCCCATATGTTGCTTCGTCCGATTTCAGGTAAATGGTGCACCAAACTATAGTTTCGTTCGATTTTAGGTAAATGGTGCACCACACTCCCAATATTTTTCCGATTGAGACAACATTTTGCACATAGTATTGAATTAGGCCCAGATTGATGTATGCCAAATGTTATTGGAATCGGTTAGGATTTAGATATAGCTCCCATATATAATTTCGCCCTATTTTAGATAAATGGTGCACCAAACTCCCCATATTTGTCCGATTGACACAAAGTATTGAATTAAGCCCAGATTGATGTATGCGAAGTTTTTTTGAAATCCCATATAATTTCGTTCGATTTTAGGTAAATGGTGCACCATACTGCCCACATTTGTCCGAAGCAGTTTTTTTTTTTTTTCGAAAAAATAACATTCACCGATTTTCGGCGGAAAAACTTTTATACATACCTTTGTAATGCTGTAGCTTCATCCATATCGACATCACCTTCATCTATTTTGGAGCCACTGCAACTGCGACATTTACAACAAATAATACAGGGTGCTGCCAGCAATAGTAGTGGCGAGGCCACCAATAATAATATACCAAAGCCAGCAAAAATGCCTATCACTTGAGCTCGATGCCATACCACCGAGGCACGGGAATGTCCAAGTTTATTTTTACATGGTCCCTTGTCGTAATGGCGCAAAAGAAAGTCATCCTGAAAAGGACACAAAAAATGCATTAATGCATGTATATTGGAGGAAAAATTTGCAGACAACAACAACAACACTTACATCCAAACTGGCCAGACAATACCAACAGAAGACATGCTTGCAACGTTTACACATCATTTGGGCACAGCCTTCATCCTTTTCAATGGGCACAGCACACATGGGACAACACTTGATGAGGTCATTATCGAACGGTATACCAATATCGTCCTGGCCATCCGCGGCCAAACGACGACTATATTCTTCGCATGTAATATTTGGATGCCACTAAAGAAAAAAATGTAAAAAAACGTATTAAATAAAAAAACTTACTTTCGTCGTGTTGTTTTTTCGAATTTACTTTTTTTGTGCAATTTATAAATGACAACAGAAGGATTTTCGTATTTATTTAAAGGGACACTGACAACAGGGATATATGTATGGATTTTATAGTTTTTATAGCATAGAAGACGACGCCATTACATACCGTTTTCTTACATGCCGAACAGAATTCATCCTTACACGATGGACATTGTACGGCACACAGTAGGGGTGTATTGGCTGCCAGATTACCACCACCACCTCCTACGCCTACAGCTCCATTGTTGCTGCTATTCGGGCTGCTTAAACTTTGGTTGGTTGCATTCGCTGCCGATGACGTTGATGCAGCCGCCACATCTGTCTGTGCCGTAGATGACGCTGATGATGATGATAATGTTGAACCTATTAAACAAACAGTTTCACAACCAGCTCGAGGACACCAGGTACGTGTTTTATCCAATTCAATTTCTATTTACCCAAAGATAACAAGAGAAAAAAGTTATTATTATTATTATTTCGTTGTGATGTTATTGACAGCAATTGACAATCAATCTTGACCAAATAGAGTGCAGTGGCACTAACCACCAACCAACATTGTTTGGCAAGTGCGCCAAGTAAGCCAGGTGTGCAAGAGTGAATGCGAATTGCAGAATTGGATTATATGCTTACCTCGATTTAAACGATATCTGTGATGTTTTTTCATTAGATTGGTTGTTGTTAGTTTAGCGATTTCGTTTAGGGTCATAACACCCTGTTCCGGACACTGAGCATCGGGACATGAGATCTCATATGCGCCCTCAGATATTTCAAATTCCACATAGGCTTTCATGCACTAGAACGAAGAAATTAAAAAAAGAGAAAGGAAGAAATAATTAGTTATTTTACTGGTCAGATGAAGGGAAAAGAAAATTGGAGAAATTACAAATTAAGAAAGCAGAATTAATTTATTATTAGAAGTATTAGTTCTTTACGATAACATTTCCGGATAAAATTACTCAGTAAATTTTGTGAAAAGATCGAAAAAATATGAACAAACAATTAAGAAAGAAAACTAATATTCTGCAAATTCGAGTTGTTGAACATCTTTAGGAAATTACATTTTTTTATTAATTGAAAATAAAAACCCTAATAAGAATATTTAAGTAAATATTAGAATTGTGAATTTATAGGCACTATTATCTTAAATATAAAAAAATAGTAGTGTTGGCGGTTTATTTGAGATACCATTTTTATTTTGTTTTTGTAAAATAGTCAGGCTGAATCCCATTTTTTTGTTATTATAAAAAACAACTATTTATTAGTGGGAAATGTATGGCATTGTTTGCCGAGCGGTAAGGTAGGGAAGACTATAGTTTCGGATCACGCCACTGATCCTCATCACCTATTTATTATTATTTTTTTTATAAAAACAACAAACTGGGATTCAGCCTGACTATTTCGCAAAAACAAAATATAAAAAAAATATTTAAAATATTGGTCAAAAATAAAAAAAAAACTTTACAACTCAGTTGGTGATATTTATAAAACTTTATTCTGTAATTTTTAGAGATTTTCGGTATTTTTAAGATCTGGAAAGCGATAACCGAACTGACTGTAATTTCATGACTTAAATTGTGAATAATTGTTTATCCATATAAAATTCACAAAACAATCAATTTGCTTGAATTCAATTTTGTTGTTTGTTTACAAAATATAACAAAACAGCTAATTGAAACAAGTTGAGTTTAGGGGCTCATCTCGTATTTTTCTGAAAATTTTATCACAGGTAGACTCCCTGATCACGAAAATATATGACTTTCATGGAGGAAGTCCATAATTTCCGGGATATGGACCTCTGAAGTTCCGAAATTCCTATGCTCATAACTTCGTTATTTATGAATCGATGAAGGTAATATTGGTATGATTGTAAAGCGTACACATTATATTTTCACTTAAATTCGTCTTAATTTAAAATTATCCAAAAAAGCCGGTCTACGGCCGGGGATTTAAGACTTTCTCCTTTGTTCTAGATAGCCGGCCTTCGGCCGGGGATTTAAAACTTTCTCCTATGGGCAGGTGGAAAAATTGGCTACGCGATTAAAATTTCCTTTATACCAAAATGTTTTTTATATAGCCGGCCTTCGGTCGGGGATTTAAGGCTTTCTCCTATGGACAGATAGAAAATTCGGCTATGCGATTGAAATTTTCTTTTAATAAACATATGTCCCCAAATATCCGTCATTATTACCATTATCGGCCCATAAATGTCAAAGTTATTATATGAATTCCGGAACTTTAGAGGTCCATATCTCGGGAAATATGGGTTTCCCACATTAATATAATATATTTTCGTGATCAGGAGACGAGAAAAATCGGAGATGAGCCCCTAATCTCAACTTAAGCCTTTTACTAGTAAGAATTTGCAAATACTCAGTAACACAACTGTCAAATTTTCTCTCTCAATTCCCTCTCTTTTACAGGACTTTTGCTTAAACGAACAATATCCAGTAACAATTTGTACATATTATTGAGTAAAAGAAAAAACCAATTGTGGGTTCTGATTCAGTAACAAATTACCCTACCAAAGGGATGACGCGTTTTTTCAATTGAAGGCAAAATACTGATATTTTTTAAACATTTATAATCAATATTGTCTTTAATAGTTATTTATAGACTCAGAAATCCAGTATGTCGGATAATTAAAAAATATACTTGAGACATACCAATGTATACACCGAAATACCATTATTGAGATACTTATGTATCACTTCAAATACTATTACCTCTTGCGTATCCATTCACATCCTGCCTATATATATATTTTAATCTCTATAAATTTTGTAATCTAATGAAAAAACAACAAGATTTCATTAGTGTCACTTTGTTTGCATTCATAGTATTCACATTCCTTGAAGGATAATAAATAATTGTTTTACAAATTCCAAGAAAACAAAAAATACGAGATAAACAACAATTGTCATTGCAATACTGCAATAGTAATAACAAATTGTATGAAATTATGTGTACTTTTTAGTACATATACAACATTTCGCAGAAACAAAAAGAAAAAAATCGGCGTCAGCAACAAAAAAACTAATTTAAAAAGTTTCTCATGTTCATAACCTAACTTCCGGTTTCCTAGCTAGCGTGAGTTTGTGCACACAGGGAAATGATGCTCATTTCCATTTAACAACAATCCAGGCTATCGTACGCTATATCCTGTTAAGTATATCACACTTATAAGTTTTTAATATGTACATATATATGTATAGTATTATTTGCATTGCATACAAAAGAAGGGTTTAAGTTCTACTAAACAACTAGAGTGAGAGAGGCCTGAGGATATGCCAGGATGTATAGTAGTTGTAGTAGTTTTAAGCAACAATTCAAAATTTTAATTTGTATCCAAATAAAAAAGCTACAAAAAGGGGGAAAACAAAATATTCTGAAACAATGTCTGCAATAAATGTTTGCCACTTTGTAATGAGAAGTTCCCAAGCTATGCGACTTTGCCAAAAACTATAAACTATGGATTTGATAGTTGTTGCAAGCATTCGTTCCGTTTTTTGTCCTTTTTAGTTGTGGAGATTTAACATAAATTTATGAAATTGTAGCAACTAAACACATTTTCAAAAAAAGTTTATTTACTATTTTTTTGGAGAAGTTTGCAAAGTCATTGTAGATTTGTAATATAATGGGCGGCCACAAGTTGGGAGCGGTGTAATAACGATGAGAAAATTCAAATGTGTCTTCTCTTGTTCGTTTTTCGAATTTCTCCGAAGACTTTTGAAAACAAATAATTGACAGTCATACGTTGTTCAAACAAATTAGACATTACACAACGAGTTTTGTCATAAAAATAGGCGGACATTTGCTTCGAAGTGCTTCATTCACGATTTGTCTCGTCTAGGAAGATCCGCCGCACGGTCTTATAAACATATTCAAGACCACCGAAATCTTTTTAATATTTTGGCATCGATGGCATCTTTATTTTTAGTCTACAGGTGGTCTTTACAAACTGTCTATAGGTCGCATATAGTACGTCTTTATATACGGCTAATATATCATTTTATTGACTGCAATAAGTCGTACTTATAGACGTCCAAAAGGTCGTATTTATTGAAGTCAAATATGTATTCTAGATTGACGGTCAATAGGTACTTTTTTTAGAAGGTCAATAGGTCGTCCTTTTAGACGACTAATAGATTGTCTTTATAGACCACCAATAGGTTGTCTTCATATACCGCCAATAGGTTGTCTTTATAGACAACCAATAGGTCATATTCATAGACGGCCTACAGGTCCTCTTTATAGCATGACATACAGTATACCAAAGCAAAACCAAGATAGTTTCTGATTTCCACGAGTCGCCCTGATGACCCCATGTTGTCTAGGGCCACAAAAATTTGCAGAGGGGTTGAGGAACACCTAAATAAGATCCCAATAAAAAAATAACTAAAAAAGCTTAACCCATTCGAAAGCTTTAACGAATTTACTATGATTGTTTTAGATAGATTATAATTTAAGCATGGTTAAATCCATGCTTATAATCTATATTATATATATATATATATATTATTTTAATGTATATATAATTTTGAGTTCCTACATCTAGATCAGATCCGTATAGACTAATTTAAAACAAAGAACCTCACGATAGTTTAATTTTTTTAATGAGTTACAGAGCTATCTTTGGATGGGTACAAATGTACCACGGTTATTGATCTACGTATACTTTTTTTGGTTGTTGGCCGAAGGGTTAAGAGAAAAAATTGCAAAAGGAAACGAACAACATCCAGTAAAAAGATTTTATTGATACAGCTGATTAAAACAACAAACAAATTGGCGCAAGCAAAAAGCAGAAGTTTTATAATCCATTTTAATGTTTGATGTTACAAAATCAAAATAAAATTCACAAACAATAAATTTGCATGAGAAAAATTTTGTTTTTTTGTTTACAAAACGTAACGAAACAGCTGATTACATATCAGCTGATGGTACAAGAAAATTCTTACCGAGTAAATTTTCCTTGTAAGAATTTGCAAATACTCAGTAACACAACTGTCAAATCTGCTCTCTCTCTCTCTCAATTCACTCTCTTTTACTGTACTTTTAGGTAAACGAACAACATTTTGTAATAATTTATACACATTATTAAATAAACGAACGAAGTTAAGTTAATTAAGAAATATATTTAGACTCAACAATTCCATTATTGAAGGGATATTATTGAAGATCAGCAGCACATCGTTAATCATTCATTCATGTGATCTAAAAGAAAAACATTTATTTGTATTTCCTTAAATTAATAAACCCCTTCATACGATGCGGAATTCCCAACAGAATAAATTGAAAAACTATACATAAGCACAACAAACTAAAATGGCAGAAGTTGTGATTTTTGCAAACTAAAAAAAAGAAAATCATAAAAAAACTAACAAAACAAATAATAAACAAGTAAAATTTATGGCATTTTCTTTACAATGTTCTGAGGCTTGTCCCACCCGTCTACATTCCAATTTAAAAAGATTTCACGCCCAGATGTGATCCACTAATAAAAACCAAAAACAATATATGGGTAGTTGTAAGTTAACAAATAAATGGAGACCTAAATAAAAATAAAATAAAAAACACAACAAAAATATTAGTAACAAAAATAAATAAACCAAATAAATGCTTACACTACCTAGCTAGCATGTGTGTCAAATGTAAAGAAATAGTTTCAAATGTTATTTCGTTCCGCAGTTGTTGTTTTTATCGTCATTATTCGTTCGTTTACTATTTGCCTAATTTATAAACCCCTCTCCCCCATCAATTGTCGGACGACTGCATACAACGGACACTTGTTTTGTTTGTTGTTCTTATATAATTTAATTGTCTGTTGTTTTTTTCTCTAAGTGTATAAATCAGCCAGTAAAAGTTTTAAAAGCTTCGCTTAGATCATGCATTTTATTCCAATAAATATTGCCATATCACATGAGATTCCTTAATATTCCAGTCGAATCTTGATAGTAATATTATAAAAAGAGTTGCCATACATAATTTTTACAGTAATGGAAGTGGTTATTCTATAGAGAAAAGTAATTGGAAATTTTTTAATATAGAAAATACCCGTATTTCGCAAGGAATGAAATTACATTAAATAGTTCACATTGCAAATAATTGGAAAATAAAAAATGGCAAATAATCAGAAAATTATTATTATACTGATAATAAATTGTGCATTTTTAATGAATAATGAGCCCTATATCTATTATTTGGCTGACTTCTGAGCATATGGAACTGCAAGAATATACTAAGTTTTGTTATTTTTTTCGATATCATATAGGAAAAATGGTTATAAATATAAGTATAAAATATTTTTACATTCTTGCAGAAAAGACATACAATTACATATTACTAAAATAAGTCATATATCAAAAATATATTTAATGAAATAGTTGATTTTTTTTAAGACAACTTACGTAGGAAATTGCTTATATACAATATATATGGAAGTTAATAGTATTCAAATTATAAAATGTTTATTGGCGGATTCAGGAAATTGTAGGAAATGTCTTTTTAACTAGAAAAGTTTAAATATAAACATAAAATGGTGGGTTTTAGGATTGTAGTATTTAAATTTAAAATAAATATGGGAATCATAAATTATGTCGAGCAAGGTCTAAATAAGGAGCTAAAACTCCTTGTACATTAGAACTTTTTTCCGGGTTAATCTACATTATGAGGATTTATTTGACATATATACAAAGGAAATGACAATTGAAACCCACTGGTTTAACGAAATCCGGTTAAATGTAAGCGTACTGTAATTGTCAATTGTTTTACCTGGATAAAAAACTATGTTTTAATTTTTTTAATAAAACAATTTAAATGTTTTAAAGAAATGATTGCTTTTTAATTGTATTATAAGCCAGAAGGCAAATATGCCCCTATCAATAGCAATATTCGACTTAATGGTCGTACAATAGGTTATTGAAGGACAATAGGTCGTCTTCATAAACGACCAATACGTCGTCTTTATAGACGCCCAATAGATTGACTTTATAGACGGTCAATATGTCTGTTTTCTATACTGTATGTAGAAAGTCAATACGCCACCTTGATAGGTAGCCAAGAGTTCGTCTTTATAGTCCGGCAAAAGGACATATTAATAGACAACATTCGGACTATATAGAAAATGAAAAAGGGGAAGGTACTACAAAAAGTACTTTTTAATAAATAGCACAGATAACGCAAAATAAACTTTTTATTCAGTTTCATAAAGATCGATTTTCAATATATCGTCACCTAATCCATCTTAACAATATAAGAATCCTTGCCTTTTCCGATTGCATTACAAAATGTATGCTATTGACCAATTTTAATTCGTGTTTTTATTGTTTTAACATTAGTTCCCCTAGCTATTTCCTCGAAAGTCAATATATTTTGCGGATCAAATGGCGTATACATTTACCCCTGAAGGCCATATACCCGATAAGTTGATAGTATATCCAAGAGGAGTGGTTGACCTTTAAATTGATACCAATTATATGGTCGTACGTACTCAGATGTGGGAGTTACACTTAAATATTTACAGGTGCTTACGTACTAAGATATTATTTAGTGACCCATTACCACACTAGAGGGCGGAAATATAACGCTGATCGCTTTAAATTTTTCCATGAGATTACAGCTGTGGTCAAGGACAAAGACTATAATTTTCGATGATGAACAGAAAATAATTTTGGGATGAAGTGGACCAAAACTTAGAATATATAACCACAGAAAGTTAGATTTTCGTGGAAGTTGTGTAGGGTATCATATGGTCGGCTCCGTCGGACTATGCAGCCCCGCTCCCTGGTTTTATTCTATTTTTACAATTCAATATAAGTGATAGTGTAGTTTAGGTTAAATGATTTTTGTAACGTAAACGACTATATTAGCTTGGTTATCAGAACATGAAATTCGTTAAATTAAATTAAAATCGGACGTTTTCGCTTAGTTGGTGCCAAACAAATATATATCTACTAAAAATTGAAATGTTTAAAGACACCGAATACAATTCATTCGAAAAAAATATGACTAAAATCTTCAATGTGCAGAAAATCCCGATATATAACGTGGATTTATATCTATAAACACATCATGAAAAATCTTTGTGAACTATACATTTTGTTATTCGAATTATATTAATATACATTTCTTTATTTGCAATTCGAAATTGTATTATATTTATTGTAATTCAACTTCGATATTTAAATTAATTTAAACAAAATGCAGAAATGCAAATTGTAAATTTAATAATTTATATTTAAATTTCGAATGAAATCATAAGGAAAATTAATCGAAATCAACAATAAAATGTTTGCTTGAAACATCTTTAAGACACCACTCGATTCTTTTTATAACAGCTATATGCATTAAAATAATTATATTTATTAAAAACACATATATATTTTCCACATATCACATCCCTGTGTGCTTCACATGACAACCATGTGTAAACAATGCCGCGATATGGCAACACTAACTAAGTAATCAACACACAAAAAGTAACCACAACACATTTCCAGTGATGTTTAATTGGAAAGTAACTCCGAACTTCCAAATGTCACGTGAAATAAAAGCTTTTCCACCAGACGTTGCAGTCGAGCTACATACGTAGTAATGTCATTATTTCGTTGATCGTCGTAGTTCGGTGTGGCGCAGAAGAAACCTGTTGGTAATAATCTTGTCGGCTCTCGTTATTTTATTTTTTTTTTTATTTTATCGAAAGTGGAAAAATAAAAGAAAAAATAAGCAAATAAACGATATCGTCTGAGCTATTTGGACAAAGTAAACTGGAAAATTAAAAGAAATAATCGAAAAAAGCAAAAGAAAAACAACCATGCAATGCAAAAACTTGAAAACATGAAAATTCCGCAAGAATGAAAGAACGAGCGAACGAACGAATAAATGTAATGGAATTTTTCAACGAAGCGAAAACCGATGGAGGAAAAAAAGCACCCATTTAAAAAAAATACTGGAAAGTTGCAAAGGCAAGCAACAACAACAATGTCCGAACAAAACACACTCACGCACACACAAACACAACGACGGGCGAGAAGAAGAACAAGCAAAAAAGTTTCATATGAATGTGTGATTTATCAAGTGACCTCCTAAAACGCAAAGTCAGCTGACAAGAGACGAACTGAAGAAAAAAAAGTTTTCAAGTTTTTGCAGGCGTGAAAAAACCCGAAGATTATTATTTGCTTGTTTGTAATTGAAATTAAAATAAAATACGCGTTAATTCTTATTATTGCCTATATGTTGAAAATAATTTCGATTCGGATTTTAATTGTCTTGTTTTTTTCGTTCTCTCCTTCCTCCCCCTCCTTTTAGATTAATCATTCCATTTTCTATTATTAAGTAAGAGCTCACACTTGTAACTCCACACCACCAACAAACATGTCCAACTTGAAGCGTTTCGATGATGAGGAACGTGAGTCCAGATATGGCCGCGTCTATGCTGTCTCCGGTCCTGGTGGGTATAATCCCTGGTGGCACACACTGATCTGTTGCCCATGATCCTTGGACAATGTAATTTATTTCTCTGTTTGCTTCTTCCTTATCTTCTCTTTACAGTCGTCACTGCCGAATGCATGTCTGGCTCTGCTATGTACGAATTGGTACGTGTAGGCTACTATGAATTGGTCGGTGAAATTATCCGTTTGGAAGGTGACATGGCCACCATCCAGGTATACGAAGAAACCTCTGGTGTAACTGTCGGTGATCCCGTCTTGCGTACTGGCAAGCCCTTGTCCGTTGAATTGGGTCCCGGTATTATGGGCAGCATTTTTGACGGTATCCAGCGTCCCCTGAAAGACATCAACGAATTAACCAGCTCCATTTACATTCCTAAGGGTGTCAATGTACCCTGTTTGTCTCGTACCACCAGCTGGGAATTCAATCCCCTCAATGTTAAGGTTGGCTCACACATCACCGGTGGTGATTTGTACGGTTTGGTCCATGAAAACACCTTGGTCAAGCACAAAATGATTGTCGGTCCCCGTTCCAAGGGTACTGTTCGCTACATTGCCCCCGCTGGCAACTATCATGTCGATGATGTTGTCTTGGAAACCGAATTCGATGGTGAGGTCACCAAACACACTATGTTGCAAGTTTGGCCCGTACGTCAACCTCGTCCCGTTGCTGAGAAATTGCCCGCCAATCACCCCTTGTTGACCGGTCAACGTGTCTTGGATTCGTTGTTCCCTTGTGTTCAAGGTGGTACCACTGCCATTCCCGGTGCTTTCGGTTGCGGTAAAACTGTCATCTCACAAGCCTTGTCCAAATACTCCAACTCCGATGTCATTATCTACGTCGGTTGCGGTGAACGTGGTAACGAAATGGCTGAAGTATTGGGTGACTTCCCTGAATTGTCCGTTGAAATCGATGGTGTCACTGAATCTATCATGAAACGTACCGCCTTGGTTGCCAACACCTCCAACATGCCTGTCGCTGCTCGTGAAGCCTCCATCTACACTGGTATCACCTTGTCCGAATACTTCCGTGATATGGGTTACAACGTATCTATGATGGCTGATTCCACCTCCCGTTGGGCCGAAGCTCTTCGTGAAATTTCTGGTCGTTTGGCTGAAATGCCTGCCGATTCTGGCTACCCAGCCTACTTGGGTGCCCGTTTGGCCTCCTTCTACGAACGTGCCGGTCGCGTCAAGTGTTTGGGTAACCCCGAACGTGAAGGTTCCGTCTCCATTGTCGGTGCTGTATCTCCACCTGGTGGTGATTTCTCTGATCCCGTTACTTCTGCCACTTTGGGTATTGTCCAAGTGTTCTGGGGTTTGGACAAGAAATTGGCTCAACGCAAACATTTCCCCTCCATCAATTGGTTGATTTCCTACTCGAAATACATGCGTGCTTTGGATGATTTCTATGACAAGAACTTCCCCGAATTCGTGCCATTGCGTACCAAGGTCAAGGAAATCTTGCAAGAAGAAGAAGATTTGTCCGAAATCGTACAATTGGTCGGTAAGGCCTCGTTGGCTGAAACCGATAAGATCACCTTGGAAGTTGCCAAGTTGTTGAAGGACGATTTCTTGCAACAGAACTCGTACTCATCCTATGACAGATTCTGCCCCTTCTACAAGACTGTGGGTATGTTGAAGAACATCATTGCCTTCTACGATATGGCCCGTCACTCGGTTGAATCCACCGCCCAATCAGAGAACAAGATCACATGGAATGTGATCCGTGAGGCTATGGGTAACATTATGTACCAATTGTCTTCGATGAAATTCAAGGTGAGTTAAAAAAAAAATACTACGAAATAAATTGCATTTTTCTAATAAAAAATTCTTTGTTTTTATAGGACCCCGTTAAGGATGGTGAAGCTAAGATCAAGGCCGACTTTGAACAATTGCACGAAGATTTGCAACAAGCCTTCAGAAATTTGGAAGACTAAGAGATGTCATCATTGGAGTGTAGCCGTTAAGACCCCCACCACTTCCACACCACTAGTCTTTTGATGTGTATGATGATGATGATTCCCCCTCTTCCTCTTCTTCTTGTGGCTGTGGAACTATTAAATCACATTCATCCTCAGTATTCCAAAATTGTTGTAAACACCACCACCACCAGAAATCTTACTTAACATTGCAGTACTTGTTAACTTTGTTAAAAAAGTCGTCCTCTTTATTATTATTATCTTAATAATTATGTTTAATTGTAAAAATGTTGACCTACTGCTTTATTTCTAAATTAGCTTTAATCATCTTCCAGTTATTTTTCTTTTTCGTTTTTTGAAGATGGTTGGGGTTAGGAGAAACATTTGTATTTTCGAAACGAGAAAATATAGAAATGCAGCAGGCAGCTAGGTTCTAACTATTCCACAAATTGTTTATATATTATTATTGTTGTTTTTTTCCGTAATTTTTCCATTTTTTTTTTAATTTTTATCCTCTCTTTTTGTTATAATTAATATGTTGTAAACAACACCAACTGGGCAACAACAACAACAATAACTTACAAATGTATGTTAATAATAATTATTTTTTTCTTGTTTTTTTTTGTGTGCAAAAAATATGTATTCTTAATATGTAGTAATAATAAAATAAAAAAACAAATTTATTATTGTAAAAAATGGAAACAAAAATATACATAAAAAATCAAAACTAGTTAATACCAAAACTGTTGGCGCATATCATTTGAAATAGTTTGATGAGAGCGGAAACTTGATTTAGAGTAGGGGGAGAGACAAATTTATCACGTGATTTGTTGTTTTTTGATGATTTTCTTTTAATGTTAATTATTTCATACATTTGTGTTAATTAATGTTGGATGGAGTTAACAATTGATGTTAAAGAAAAATAGGTATTGTTGTTTGTTTGCTTATAGTTTTCTTTTAATTTTTTTTTCAAGAAAATTAACATTGTGTGTACATAGCAACTCAGTGAGTTGGAAAAAAGATAGGGGTCTTCTGATAAGCAGCTATATATGTAGATGTGTATATAAAGGTCTTACCACTAGCCATGCCGGCTGTCGTCATAATTTTGTCTACATTAGATTGTGTTATATTTGTGTTTGCTTTTTCAGTTTACAAATATTAAATTTATTTATCACAATTTTCCGGTGTCATGTGCAATAAGATAATGCAACGGAATTTTCGTGTAGGTGATTATCGTATGTTTCTTTTTTTCCGAAAAAAATTATCAATGAAAGTACGACAAAACTAGTATCGGTTTCGACATCAATAAGATATGTGTGCAGGGAAAATTTGGACACATGACTAACAGTTAAATGTGTTATTCAAGGAAGATATGCGAATGTTTCAGAATTAATTAATCTGATTTTGTCAATCAATGCTGGCTTCAATGTTCTGATCAAAAACATATCAAGATCTCTAGGTCTCTTTTGCTTTTATTTTTAAAAGCAGGAAATCAGATCTGAACTACAAAGGTCTACAAATTTTGTGAGACAATTTTTTTAAACTAAAGTGGGTTGATTCTTATGACCGGTATATTCCGATACACATCTCAGGCTACTCTGGGCACGATCCTCAATAGCCCACCCTTTAGATATTCGGTTTATGGCCGGCTTTAAAATGTGCAAAGGGGATAAAACAAATAGGAACTCTGACAGGCTAATGATGTACGATTGAAAGTTATTCTATTCTGTGCAAGGACAATCACGTTAGTGACTTGCCCTTTGAAGATTTTAATGTAATCATTTGTAACAGCAAACCCTGTGGGTGGCTTGCAGCCTCGAGGAAGGTACAGTTGTTGTCGTAGTGAGACACGGGTCGATTTAGATCGTAGACTCCACTGCGTCGGACATTGGTGGAGTGGTATGTTGTGTATATGCATTTTTAGGGACTTAATGAACATTGTAGTGCTTTTCAGTTGTTTGGAAACAGCCGAACTTGTCAAAGACATTTTGATTTAATTAATTTAATTAATTACAGTAAGTAATAATGTAGCACACAATTATCGCTTTTGTTCGAAAAAAAAAATCATTGTATATATCAATCTCTGTAACATTAGATATAATTTTTCCAAATGGGATGTTAGTTAAATTTACTAATGTTTTCTATGTGAAGACAAAGAGGAAATAGAGAGAATTGAACATCTACTCTAGACATGGTCCATCTTTAGTAGTAAGAAAAATCAATCACAGTAGTTGCCAACAAGAGAGTTTTTCTGACATTAAAATTATATCCTCATTAATTTGTATGATCGTAAATTGAAATTTAATTATTTAATTTATCCGAAAATATTTCGGTTCAAGAGATACTAATAACAATGACGATTTGAGTCGATGTAGTGTGTTCAGACATCACGATAGAAATTGAAATATTTAAAAAAAGGCTCAGCAAATTTGCACACACATCTAGGATGTTTGGTATTGTAAATAGGATATATCGATCCATGTTTTGGTCCCCATATAACGGTACCCCAAATATTAGGCATATTGGATATTTTTGACACGAAGTTCTAATTGAGTACAAAAGTGCATTCAATATTGGTCAACTCTTTATATTATCTCCCATATAAGGTAATTTTGCGGAGTTTCGATATTTTAAGGAGTTTGGGTCATTTTTTCAAACAATTTGACTGTAATTTGGTATTTTGGGTTCCCATTGCTTGGCAAATCTGTATTTTGAGAATTTCAGACATATTTTTACCCATCACACATCATTTTCGGTATGTTCAATATCCTAGCCCAACCTGAATGACGACCTTTTAGGTTGGGGAAGAAAATAAAGCCATTATATTTATATGTAATATATGACATCATTTAACATGCTTCGGAATGTCCTATTTTGGCCAAATATGCACCGTTTTGTTGTATGATTTGTTGCCATTTTAAAGGTAACTTCATAATGCCTCTCTCATAGAAGTCCTGCTCTATATTAGCAAAAAAAAAAAAAAAAAAAAACTCTAGTAGTCGATTTTCACAATCCACCCAAGATATCAAAATGTTTATCATTAAAAAAATGTTGCAATCTAAGAACAAAATGATAATCGCTCGGTGCCAAGTTCGGACTGTAAGGCGGATGCATTAAAACTTCCCAGCCAAGCTCCCGAAGTTTCTGACGAGCCACTGTAGATGTGTGTGGCATAGCGTAGTTCTGTTGGATTGTAGTCAATTGTAAATGGCTTAAAAAAGTTTTATGGTCGTTTATTAGCTCCTGGGCGATGTTACGACTGCTGTCGGTCAACTTCGATAATTTCTCCGATTTTATCGATATTTTCGACGACTTAACATCGAAAATTCCAGAACGGAATCTACGAAACCAAAATTGCAAATAATTGGCTGTTACAGTATCGGAACCATAAACACAATTCACAATTTTAACCGCTTGGCTTGCATTTTCGCCTTTTGTCAAAGAAAAACTGCAAAATGTACCGAACTTTCTCTTTGTTCACTTCCATTTTTAACACCCTGTAACTCACAACTGAATGCACGAGAACTCTATCAGTACAGCCATCTACCGAAAAAATAAAGGGTTTGTTTTCCCCCAAACTAATATGCATTAATTTTCTCTTGGAAGACCCGATGTGGATATTTTTAATGTCCACTTCATGGCGGATGGTATAAAAACTTCTGCCCCGCTCAACTTAAGACCTTTTTATACACTCAACCTTATTTCTAATGAGGGTATATACAGTTCGATACAGCAAAAATGTGCCTTATCGATATATTTTATATTAAAACCCATGTTTCTTTAGATCAACTCCGTTTCAGATAGTTTGGAGTCGATTTACAAATGTTCGTCCGTCTGTCTGTGTGTGTCTGCCTGGCTAGTTAGTGCGCACAATAACTCTCGAAGGGAGTAGCCAATTTCATTCAAACTTTAAACATAGTAAAATTTCGTTCAAATATAAATATAAATCAAATTATTTCTGGTACCTGCCATAGAAAATGGTCAAAAGTATGCCGAGAATTAATTTTGTAATATAATGCGAACGGACTATCCAGTTTGAACGAAACTATGCACAGCCTAATATTTATACCAACCCTAAATATTGTTGGAAGTTGGGAGTGATCGGTGCATTCCTTCCAGTACCTCCCCCACAAAAGGTTAAAATTGTCAATAATTAAAACTTCAATATTAAACGAATGGAATGACCGATATGACAGAAATTTTACACATCGCTTACACTTTTACCAAACCTAGATCATGTCCAAAGATTCGACCCATCAGTTCACTCCTTGTGGTACTTTTTTCGCTACTTTCATGAAATCTTATAGCATATTTTCAGGCGCAAGCTCCTTTATTGAGTTATCAATTTCTTAGTCAAGCTTGCTTTGGACTCAACTTAAGGCGTTTTTCTACCCTCATGCTTATTTCTAATGAGGGTATATACATTTTGATACGACAAAGATGTGCCTCCTCGAAATATTGGTTATTAGACCCCATCCGTTTCAGACAATTTGGAGTCAATTCGTCTGTCTGTGTCTGACGATAACTCTCGAAGGGAGTAAACGATTTCATTGAAACATTGAACATCGTATTATTTCTACCAAACTTAAATCAAATTTGAAGATGGACAATATCGGCCCACTCTTTCTGCTACCTCTCACACAAAATTGCCAAAATTTAGCTGAAAATTAATAAATTTGGACTTCTGCAATTTTTAACATAGATCACAGTTTGAAGGCATAAAATATTTCCGATAAATCCTCTCGAGTAATTCTAACGAATTCAGGAACTGTGTGTATCAAATAATTTTATTTGCACTAAAATAAATGAAATAAATTCATTGAAATAATAATTGCTTTCCCAAGGCCTAGTCCCAATTTATATTAGGCGAGTTTAATTGCGGCAAGTCATTGTTTGAAGGAGAGAGAGGCAAGGGGAATAGAAATTGAAAATTGGTAATATGATATGTCAAAACGGCAAACAAAGCGAATTTCAATTAATTCGCTTTGATATATCAATTTTGAAGCAAATTGTTTTCTACCAATCAGAACACAGTATTTTGAAGTAT